CAACAGTGCCCCCTCGTGGGAGTCTATGTGGCTCATTAGAACTCTATTCCACCAAAGGGAAGGGTAATGAATGATAGGATGGCCTATATTACTGCCCTTCCTGGTCTTCACAACTGTTCCCTCTGGAATGTCCTCCTCTCCCTCCCCCTGGTTCAGTGGTTCTCAAACTTCAGCCCACATCATAATCACCTAGAGGACTTGTTAAAAACAAGATTGCTGGGCCCCATCCTCAAGTTTCTGAGTAGTTCTGGGGTGGGGCCTCAGAATTTACATTTTTACGAGCTCCCAGATGATGCTGATGCTGCCTGTTCAAGACCACATTGGGAGAATCACTGCCTTAGCTACTCTCTGCACCCATCAAGACTCAGTGTAAATAGTGGCTCCTTAGTGAGTTCCACAAATGTCCCCAGACACATCACAGAATGTCAAAAACTGTAATTTTGACCAAGTTCCTTAGCTTCTTTGAGCTTCGATCTCATCTGTAAAATGGAGTTAATAGTACTTTCTTCATAGAGGTAGTTATAAAAGGTAAATAATTTATACAACATGCTTACCATATACCTAGCACATAGAAAACTACTGTCATTACTATTAGCAGTAGTAATAGTGTTACTGTTCATTTACCATTTATTGAGGACACCATGTCTCCTAAGACACAGAATTCTCAAAGGCAGAAGAGACCTTACTCTTTAGCTCAAGTTCCCTTAACCTAGCTGATCAACAGCATCACCTGGAAAATGTTAAAACTTCAGATGTTTGGGTGCCACCCAAAACTAGTAACTCTGGAAACTGGGACAAAAGGCCTGGGCACTTGTGTTTTGAATAAGTCCCCACATGCCAGGTTTGGGAACTACTCATCTAGCCCTTGTACCTCATCTAGATAAAGGGAAATGGAAGCCCAGAAAAGGGAAGTCCTTTGCCCATTCATTGATAGCTGGCTGGAGGCTGGGTGGGAATCAAAGTTGTCTCCTCATTCCAGTCTAGTCCTTTGTCAAGCTAAACTGCTTGGATGCTATCTCATCAACCCCTAACCTCCTGTACAAATCCTCTCTCCTATGTACATGACAAGGAGTGCAACAGCTTAAGTATCTCCCATGCAGAAGAATTCAGCATGTGACAAGGACACGCAATCTATTGTTGAACACTTAATTCTCCAGCATATTTTCATGTGACTAAAATATTGAATGAGAAACCCATAGCCTGGCATACATAGTCCTCTCTGACCTGTTCCCTGTTGACCTCTCCAGTCTCATTCCCCACTAGAACCTCACTTGTACCATAACTCCCAACCAGACCATGGACAGTTTGTTGTTATGGGGGTATCTTCTACAACACCTGGTATAAAGGAAGTTCAAGGAGTGAATAGAAGTGGACTAGAACTCAGGAAAGCCTGCTTTACCAGCATAAATGAAGCAAGTGATACTCCTGTGCTCTTGCAGCCAACCTGGTTTATTTTCGAAATGGAGTATCTATCAGAAATGCACTATGCAAACTCTGCTGGAAGCCTCCAGTTACCTCAGGACCTTCCAGCTCACTGATTACAAGAAAATGCCTACCTGAACACTCTGCTCCCATGCTATCCAATCCGATCCCCTATTCCCCGACAGAATGAATGGTCTTACCTCATACTGCCTATTCCCAACTCTTTTGTTCTTTTCCATCTTTCGCGGACCCAAATGGGATCTCTGGTCTTACCCCATTTGGTGTTACTCTTGGAAGCCAGCCAAGACCCAGCCCCTTGCACTGATTCTCACCTCTGGATTCCTATCTCAATGCAATTTATACAGTCTGTTTCTTCATAAGGAACCAGGACTTGAAAGAGCGGGTAAGCTGCTAAACTCTGAGCTTTGAGGGCAGGGGTTGCTTCTTACCCATCTCCCAGGACAGTAATTATGGCTCAGTAAATGGAGAAGTCAGTTGGCTATCTAATGACTTGTTCAATAATTCCCTGGCAACAGGCACCTTGCTGAGCACATAGGTGGACAAATTATGAGTCTTATATATTATATGCCCAGAAAATAACAGCTGCTCAATAAATGAGTCAAGGAATAAATGCTTCACAATGGATACTAGTCATACCACTGTTCCAATCCCTGCCCCACCACTTAGCAAGATGAGCTGCTTAACTGCTTTAAATGCTCTCCAAGATGGGTCCAGTGAGACTTGCCTTAGGGTTAGTGTGCAGACTAAAGTAGGTAATAGTTTAGAATAGCACCTGCCTCAGCTCCAAGACTATAAAATATTGGAGTTTTTGCCTTAAATACTTAAAAAGAAAAAACAAAAAATGTTGCCTTTAAGAACCCAAAATAATCTTGCCAGGAGAGCACTGTTAAAAGCTGCCTACCAGGACACCTGCAGCTACAAATGGAACTTAGGGGTGAAGCTCTAAGCCAAGCTGTAAAGAAGCACCCCAGTATTCACTGGACTCTTTAGAACTGCCTCCTTTTCAGAACCACCTCTGGCTTCTTGCCACACTTCAAAGATCCTTTCTACTCTGACAAAGCCACAGCCCCAACCAGTACAACTTGAGGAAAGGGATATGGCTCTCCCTCCCTCACTGTTGACACTGATTAGTAAAGTCAACTTTGCATTTTTATGGAGGCCTTTCAAAGCTTGTTGACAGCAGAGTGTGGTCTGGTTACTGTCAGGTCCAAAAAAGTGCTGAATCTCCAAGAATTCTGAAGTGCAACAGCACAATTGTACACGATTCAAAGAAAGTTCCTGCAGTCCCTGCTTCCTGTCTCAGATGCTTAGCACTTCAGTTTCCAAACTCTTCTCACAGATGCTACATCATTTGAGCTTCAAAACAGCCTGGGTCAGGTCAGAACAAGTACCCTAGGGAGCCCTAATTTAAAAAGAAGTTAACCTACTCAGGGGGCCAAGTAACTTACCCAGATTCTCAGCTGGACTAGATGGAAGGAGCATACAGAGGGGACACAAGATCAGAGAACAGATAGATGAGGGTGGCAGGATAGCTGTAGGGGCAAGAAGCCATGGTAGACTGGAGAACAAACACCCATTCCGAGGTTCCTCTAAACCTTACCGTCGTGGCCCAGCTATTAATTCCTGATAGAGGCTAGAAATCTGGATCTTTAGGTAAAATCTTCCCAGTATCAAATTCCTTGCCTGTCTAACCAAAGCTTATGGACAAGACTGCCAGTTTGTGACTTCTGCAACATTCCAGCCCAGGCAGTTCCCCTGAAAAAATGCCAAAGAGGCTACTGGCTGAATGACTACAAACTGTCCTGAGTTCACTCCAATTTTAAAAGCCTCTACCATTTTGTGACTTTGATGCCGACCTTCACCTCCACTCAGGCCTCCAGCAGCTGTGCCCTCTATCTTCCCATCAGTCCCTAGTATCCCACTCTGAAAACCACCTCCTACTCTTCAATTTCTGCTCCACTGCTTCCACTAAGCCAGCCCCTGAACTTTGTGAACAGCTCCTGGGACCACACCCCTCCCACCCCTGCTGCCCTGTCCCACAGCCAGCCCAATAAAACCTTTCCCAGCACCTTCGGTCTTGCCCCTGCATTGCTGCTCACCAGTCCTCTGCCCCCACACTTGAGCTCAGTCACAGCAAACTGCATTCCCCTCACTGCAACAACATTTGCCACCAGGCATAAATGCCCTCTGTCCTCCATGCACTGCTCATTTAAACATGTCACTCACCTCAAATCCCCTACACTCCACATCCCCCATTAGTCATTTGAGTGAAAACTGAAGCTTGCAGGCCTAAATTGCCCAGTCGTCCACTCACTACATACAAGTAGACCACCTGGTATTTCCTGGTCCTAGCAAGAGAGCATAGAGCAGATTTCCTAGCAAGAGAACCGAACAGGCTACAGGTCCCACAAACTCAATACGCCACATCAGCATAACCTCAAATGGTGCAACTACGCTCACCCCACCCTCAACCAGCAGATTCAGCCCCTCATGTCTATTCACATTCCTGCCCTACAGTCTGTAGTTCCTTCAGTGGAGGGTTCTAACCACCCTCTCCAAAATATCATTCCTTCCTACAAACCTGATATGCCTTCTTATTGCCATGACTCTTGCTTTTTCCTGGATCCCTTTTCTACCCAACCAGCCAGGTTTCTCTGGAGCATCTCATCCACCGCCATGATTCTTAATAGCATTTGTAAGCTTGACTCCCAGATGGACCCACCTAAAGCATAAACCAATCAACTTCAGAGAATAAAATAGCATTCAAAATCCATAAGCCATCATGTCTCGGCCTTTTGGCTAAGATCAAGTGCAAAGTCCTTATCCATTAATAACTTTTCCCCACATCCCACTCTCTCAAGCACTCTAACTCATATTCTATACTCTCAAAAGGCACCTCAACTGACACAGTAACCCTAAAACAACTCCTCAAATCTCCAAACCCTACACAACTGACCAATAACCTACATACAGTGCAGGCCCTTAACTCCGATGCCTGAAAAGCCAACTGATAATCAGCATCTGGCTAAGAAAAAGTAGCACTACATAGCCCTCGATGTTTCATAGAAAGCATGCATAATCACATTTACCAAGCAATTACATCCAAATATTCATTACACTAGAACTTTTTTCAAGTTCCCCACTCATAATAAAGCACTCACTTTTCCCAAACATAAACCTGCAATGCAAATAATTTTGACATCCTATTGAGGATAAATGAAAATGTGACCTAATTTTAATTTCTATTGAGACCAGCAAATAATCTTTTCAGTAACAAGTAGTGGGGCTCTATGAAGACCTAAAAAGAATTCCGATTTTAAGTGTCTCTTTCAGAGACTGAAACTACAGTAATGGCAAATATTAACACGAGCATCCAGACTGGTCCTATGTGCTCCCATGTTGCCCATACTCTATACCTGACATCTTTGTGCTATTAAAAAGGACCAACATCACCCTATCATACCAAGTTTGCAGTGAATGCTTAATGGAACACATGACCTTGGGCGGCAATCTAAATCTGCTAAACAGCAGACTAATTACACTCTCAAACAACCAGACACATAAAAGTTATTAGTTTATTAATCCTCTCATGAAGAATCTGATCACCAGAGTCACTGACGAATCTTTACTCCTTCTGTGAATCAAAAAAAAAAAAAATTAGCAACTGCTGAACTGAACTTTAAAAATTAAAGTTCAAAGTCTTCAACAAACTCCAAAATTAATGACACTCATGCAAAACAAATATTAGTAACCAGGAATCATGTCAAGTTTAAACGATCACAACAATGTAAGCATCAATTAATAAAACAAACATCAAGTTAGGAATGAAAAATTAAATATTACTAAATTTTAAAAACAAAACCATGTCACAAATAGCATTTAAGATGCTAAAACTCTTGAGAACATTTGTAAATCTACTTCTAAATCTATTTCACATGCTCTACATTTAAATTACTGCATCAGTAAACCAAGAAGTCTAGTGATCTAAATGAAAAGCTTGAATTATACCTGTTGTCCAATCTCCAGCTCACTGAATCAGTGGCAGGGAAGGGAGAAAGGAGGGAAGAGGGAAAAGAAACAATATTCATTAATAGTCCCTTTTCAAACTCCAAAATAAAGTGCATATAAGTGCATGCAATCAAATACCTTCATATTGATCCTTTTGTTCTTTGCAATTGTATATAGAATACTTCAACACACTGATTTTTTATTTCTCCCAATTTTAAGACTACCTTGCCTGATTACCATGGTTCTTATACAAATAAAGCGATGTAACAGCTTCACAATAAAGAGATTATGCTTCACAATAAAGAGATTATGGTAGTGCCAACTCAGGTAGCCACTGCCTATAGATGATGAAATAGGCATACCTGAGTCTTGGCCCCTCTGCTCTGCCCAGCATCACTATGCTGGGCACACTAGCACCACTGACAGACCTGTTAATCAGTCCAGGCTAAAATAAGTTAACCACAAAGGGAGAGCTCTAAATGATGGAGCAAGTCTTTTAAAACCTGTCTCAGTTCAATACGTTAAAAGCCACCATTCACAGCCAATAAAAGTAGTGTAAACTGGTATTTAAAAAGAGGCAGAATTTAGCTAAAGTAAAAATGCTTCAACAGTTCTTCAAATATAAAACTATTTATTCTCAATTTAAAATAACTTATTGCACCCAAAAGGTAGATCAAATATCTTAGCAAAACCTGAAATAAAAGTAACACTAATATGCTTAACTCCTTTTGAGATAAAAAAAAATACGTGTGCTCCTTTACGCATTCATTTTCCAGACAGGTTTTCAGAGCAGTGCTAATGAAATGCATCAGTGCTACTTGAAATAGGAAGTGATGGCTCAGGTCCCCCACAGGTAGCCCCTCTGCACTTGTCACCTCCTAGTATTAATACATGAAGCCCAAGAGCTAAATAAAGAAAATGTTAAATATCTTTCAGATCTAAATAAGACAAACATTGATTTTTTTTGTAACCTCTAGGACTTCTGTCAACAGGTATAAGCCTCACAAACAGGGAGTGGCTCTAAGCAGCAAGTATTTCTTCGGGTGGTTTGTCATCATTATAACCCCATGGCACTGGGAAGTCAGTGTGATTAGAATTCTGGGCAGGCCAACCAGGTTTACTGACTGGCCTGGCAGAGTCATAGATAAAGGAAGCACACAGGGGCAGTGACCACTACTATTTCAAAACCCTACTACCCTAGCCCAGATCCAACCCCCTTTACTTACACGTTACTGGTTTAGGCTGCTTAAATATGCAAAAATGTATTTAAAATGGGTAGTGGACCATTCTGGCCAAATAAAAAAAAAACATATTTATCAAAGGCTTTAATGCGAATGTACAATTATACTGGAAATTTTTCAATTAAAAACTATCAGGTGAAGTTGGAGATCAATAAAAAAACAATAGAATAGTAAAGGAGATAGTAAAAGGTGGCTTAGAGTAGATGATCCCAGGACAGAGGCTTTGTCAGATTTCCTGGATCAGTTTATTATCAGAGCTGCCAGAGAATCAACCAGTCTCCAAGGTCCTCAAGGGAAAGACTGCTTGTAACTGGATGAGAGGCCCTTCCCAGGACCCTTATTAACTAAAGCCATTTGCTGGGTATATAACTCTGGGACACGGCATTTCGCAAGTGTTGTTAAAAGGTGCCTACTTAGTAGGGAGGGTATCCACCTTTCTCCACTGGGTCACTTCATAATGTAACATGCATTTTTGAGCTTCCAAAGTGTGATTAAAAGTTTCTCTCCTTTGTTCATAATATACTACTTTAATACATAGCAGTGGTGTTATACTAGACCATACTATAGAATTGTCGTTCAAATGCCAACATGCAAAGCATCAAAGCAAACTCAGTGAAGGTGATGCATCCCCACATCGTGCTCACAATCTCAGTACCTGCTAGATACTTCATTTCTGATGAACAAGAAATCCAAGAAAGTAGAGGGAAAAGGCAAAAAAAAAAATTCATAGAACACTTGATTATTTGTTAATTTAACAAACCAACACCTTAATTCCATTCAATTATTTGCAATTAGATAGCCAAAGCTGGTAAAAAGCTGCTTATCATTAAAATCATTTAAATCTTGGCTAACTGGAGAGGAAAGCAATCTAGATTTCATATCAGCTGCCTCTCCAGCATGCCAAGAAAACATGGGCCACACTGATTCTACTGCTTCTTAAACCAGTTGTCCACTTTAAAGTAAGTTATGTCTCAGGGAACTAGATCTGCTCCCCCTTTAACTCCATGCCAATTAGCAGTAAAATGAAAACTATTCCTGATAGAGCTTGCAAGGCACCCCCACCAGGATCACTGAACCGATGTGGCCCGTGTTGTGCTAATCTGTGAGCTGTGGCAAAGCTACTGTGGGAGAAGCTACTCTACTGAGATGTTAAGATACTATATTACGTGGTTTCTCAAAACACGTTACCTTCTGTAATCCAGAAGAAGTGGGGAAAAAAGAAACATTAAGAAAGGTTATTAAAAAAAATAAAACTCCTACTTTCTAAAAACTAAAGACCTGCAGTTTACATTTCTGTATTTTCCTTGATAAACTATACCTTTTTGCCAGCACCAACATTGGCCTTTGCAGTCCCTCTAACTTTCTTCATCCTGTTCTTGCGTTCCTTTCGCTGTTTTCTTGAGGTCTTTTTCTTCTCATAAAGGCCATGCTAAAGGAGAAAGAAATATATAGAGAGGTGACTTGCAAACATCAACTTATCATCACCCACTAATCTGGCAAGGAAATGAACCAGGCTGGAGCTCAAGAAATGCAGCTTCTCAAATCAAAACTTTTTAAGTACACTTAATAATACTTGCTTAATACAGAAAGGATCATTAAATTAAGAAACTAATAACGCAGAAAGGATCATTAAATTAAAAAACTATGTATAGAACAACAGCACAGGTGAATGGTAAGATTAGAGAACTACTACTGTCCAGCCTTGATCCCCATTTTGGCTTCCCTTCAGGGTCTCTTCCATTTCATCTCAATCACTCCCAGCTGACAGAAAAGCCTTTACCAAGAGCTCTTTCCCCCAACCCCATTGGAGACTGTTATAATCTACTCATTTTCACTGTCTACTTTTGCACTTGCTAATATTCCTGTTGCCTAGAGGACTGCTTCCAAATCTTTACAAGGATCTCAGCTACAATGTCTCTTCCTCAGCAAGGCCTCCCAGACTACTCAATTTAAAGAGTGCAGCATCTACCACATCAAGATTTCAGTCACAGCTCTTTTATAAAAAGATTTACCTAATAGCAGAAAGAAGGGGTTAAAAGGAAACAAACATAAATACTTTAAAGTTACAATCCATTTGCTAGTTTACTACCTAGATTGTAAGCTAGCAAACTTGTCGAGTCCACTGCTGTAGTTCATTCTAGTGCCTGGAACTCAGGAAGTATCAAAAAACTTTCATGGTTGCTGGCTACCTTTGAGAGTTAAGTCCAAACTCAAACCTTTAGTAATAAGAATCTCACTTTATTTGGTGCCAACCTACGATTCTAAACTCATCCCTACTTCCAGCTCCTATCTCCACACACACTACTTTATCTGCCCTTCTAAACCCAGCTCAGATGCCACCTCCTCAAATGCTACAGACCCCACCTCTGAACTCCTATACTCTACCTGAGCCTTTATCAAAGAACCTTTTCTCTTTAAGAGTTCTTTAGGTCTATATGCTGTCCCTCCCCAGACTGCTTGCTCTAGCGCATTCCACTGTACCTACAATACAATGTTATTGAAAACGCTTTAGCAACTGATGAAAATGAGGATACCTACTCTTGCAAGTCTATGTTTGGGTTCATTTTTCTTTGCATAGTCCAAGGAATCATAAATCATGCCAAAGCCGGTTGTCTTGCCACCACCAAAATGGGTTCGGAATCCAAATACAAAAATGACATCTGGTGTGGTCTTGTACATTTTGGCTAGTTTTTCCCGAATTTCTGTCTTAGGTACTGTTGCCTTTCCAGGATGAAGAACATCGATGACCTAAAAAGAAGTATCAAGTTTAGTATTTATTAAAATGAAACATCTTTAAAAGCAAAGAACAACTAATCAAACCTGGATGTAATCCTGTCTTACCATTTGTTTCCGTTGAAGTAGCCTATTGGTCATGAACTTCCTGGTCCGGATAGTTACTGTGTCATTCTGAAAATATAACACACAAGTTAATAAAACTACTCAACTTTTTCTTCGCCTTGCTGTGATTTTCCAAGAGCTAGAACTGCACTGCCCAAATTAGTAGCCACTAACCATGTGAATAATTAAATAACATTTGAAATGCCAATTCTTAAGCTCCAGGAAGAGCCACATTTCAAATGTTCAAGAATCACATGGACTAGTAGCAAGAAAGCTTCAATAAAAAGAAAAAAGGCACAAAGTCCCATCTCCTCCTCACCCACAAGACACATCTCACACAAACTCAGTCCCAAGAAAATGCACTTAACAGCTTTGTGTAAAGCTTACTTCACTGTTATAGGAAAAACTCTGGACCATTGTTTCTCAACCTCTCAGCACTGCTTACCTCTTGGTCCAGAAAACTGTGTTATGGGAACTGTCCTAAGCATTTTAAGTAGGTCGTTTAGTAGAAACCTTGGCTTCTAACCACTAGCTGCTGGTAGTACCCCCACGACCCAGTTTTAACCAAAAATGTCATTAGGCTTTACCAACTGTCCCCTTTGAGGCAAAAATCACCCCCCATAAGAACCACTTCTCTGGAGCAAAATTGCGACTCACATGTCACTGCACTGTGTTTACAGCACCCTGCACAAATTTGACACAAACGTTGCACTAACTGCATGTGAACTACCCTTCTTGAATGTCCAACTCTATAGCCCATAAAACAGTATTCCTTCTGAATGGCCCAATAACTCTCTCTCACACATTACTAAGTAATGTGAGCAATTTACCATGTTTACACTGACGAAAAAAGAAAAATTTCATCAAAAAGATGGAGAAGGGGAGGCTTTCATGGCATGGCAACGAATGGTTGCTAGATTTCAATTTGTTTGAAAAACCACACTAAGTCTACTTCAACAGTACTAAATTCTTTTAAGAAAAAGGATTAAAAAAAAAAAACGGCTCGCAAATGGAGGAAAATTAAAAGCTAGTGAACCTTTCGAATGACGGAGCCAACTAATTACAAGGCAAGTCTCTTTCAGGGCCTCAGTTTCCCCACTGTCAAACAAGAAGATTCAGTCAGCTGACAACATTCTAGCTTACACGTGAGAATGGTTTCATTTACTGCAACTCGCCCGGGCGCTGCTGGCACCCTCTTCACCTCTTGGGCTGCCATCACCTGCAAACCACCTATCCCAAGTTGCGACTGCAACTGCGATATGTTTCACCCCACTCCACCCCAACCACTAGGCTTCACGAAGCCAACAAACACAGCAACCGCTCCCTCTGTCCCCAGGCCTTCGACTCTGAAACCCGGCGTGTCCGGATCAGCAGCGCAGTCTGGACGCCCAGCCAGCGGCTCCGGGAGCCTCGGAAACCGGCCTCTGTCAGACACGGCCAGAGATGAGCAACCAGGTTTCGTGCATCTATACCACAGACGGCAAGACCGGAGGACGAAGGATGGCTCGGATATGCAGCAGATGACTGCACCGGTCCGTGGAAACTCACCATGATGGCAGAAGGCCTTCAAGCAGCCAAGGAGGAAAAGAGAGCCACTCTTCGCCGGCCAATCATATCAATGCGTACGGAAGGACCCCGGGCGGTGCCGGCGTGGGGGCGTGGCCGCACTGCGAGGTCGACCACGCAAATGCCGGATTGAAAGTGCCTAAGGCCCCGCCTCATCGATCTTTGGCTACACCCGGGCTGGCCAATCCGGAGGCGGAACAGCTCGGGCCGACTAGATTTACGCAAGCACGTGTTCAATTTCAGTTCAATTTATTACGTATCTGACTTGTGCATACTTAAAATTCCGATAAACCGAATTATGGTTTAAATTATCTCCTTCCGAGTTAGAGGTCCGTAAAGCTGGAAGGTTCCTTAGAAGGCCCTATTGATCGGTCTCCTCATTTTACAGCTAAAGAAGCTGCAGAAACCCTGACTCGAAACCTTTATTTCAAGTACACAAAACTGACCATTTTGATTTATTGCTAAGTATGATTTTTCTGATATTCTTTGTTGATTTTCTGATTAAAAATAAAAAACTTTTTAATTTATCTTTAATTCTTAATCCTTACCAAAAAAAAAAGTATATGAGCTTTTTATAAGCACTTGCTTTATCCAGAAATTAGGTTGTTCAAGGTGAAACATATATGTAAAGATAAAAAACATAATAAGAGTGCTTGTTCTAAGAAAGTCGTTAGGAAAGAACTTCGCAAAAGTTAGTGTGGACCATGGTGCAGGCTTTGAGGGCAGCTTTCATATATTCTTCAGAATAAGTGAATATTCATTGAATGATTGCTATGTGCCTGTTACATTCTAATTACATTTACCTTCATTATGCTATTTAACATTCCCACCAATAGGGTACCTATTACTTACCCCTTTTATAGATGGGGAAATATGACACAATGAGATTAAATAACTTTACCAAGGTCACAACTTTTCAGTGGTGGTACCTAGACTTCCATGGAGGCACTGTGAGTCCAGAGCCTTTAACCGTTTAACCTGTAGTCACTCATCAAATCTTGTTAGTATAGTATTGTCAACATTACTTCAAAATATATTAAGTGGTTAACTGCTGAAATAGGTCAGGAAAATCCGATTCGCTTTGCTTTTTGTGACGTTATGGTTTTACTAGTGGGGATCCATGGAGTCTAAAAATGAGATTGCATTCCTTCTTAAAATGCAAAGACCTTGAAACACTCTGTTGGGTTCTGTTTAGAATTTCTCACAAACAGTAAAGAAATTTCGGGTTTCTGTAGCACTGAGTCCTATGGTGGTGTGATTTCCTTGCTAGTCTCAAACACTAAGATGTCACACTAGGATCACCTCCCGTAGATTGTCGCAGACAGTAGGTGAGCAATTTATTTCAACACGTGAATGATCTCTTCCTATTCTCCCCTCATTCTGTTCCCCTAGTTCACCACTACAGCTCACTTTTCACTCTAAACTGACATTTCAGCTTCTGTTTTTGTAATCAAAATATGAATTTAATTTTTTTTTTTCAAAATACTTTGTGAACTGGAAGAGCATGTAGTGTTTTCTGCCCTGTTTATTTCTTTTGTTGGTTGTCCAGATGGTGCCTTCTGTTCCTTGGGCGGGTTCATTTTAGCCTCCACCTTTTCTTAACACAATTGGAGGCTCTTAATTAAGATGGTATAAATGTTGATAAGAACGATTTTCCGCTTTATGCAATTTTTGGCTCTCTGGTTGTCTAAAACTCCTAGGCAATGTTTTGTAGTTGCTCTACAGGTGACATGACCTGGAGATACGGAACAGAAAGGAGATTTTGAAAATACGCGCAGGACTCGTTGCAGTTTGAAGGGGGTGCCGCTGGAAGGCGGTGTAGGGAGAACGCAAAAAGCTGAGCGCTGGAAGCCTCTCTTTACAGACGCGCCGGCGAGTAGCGGAAGAGGAAGCGACCACGTGAGGCGCTTTACGGTGGCCGAAAGGATCCCGCCGATGTGTTAGTAACCACTCCAGAAGTTACACTTGGAGGTGCGGGAAGGATTGTTTCTCTACCCCAGTCCCCCGAGTCTTGAGGAGGGTACTGCGGCAGCTGTCACCATGGTGAAGGAGCAGTTCCGGGAGACGGATGTGGCCAAAAAAATGTAAGATGAACAAGAATGGCCAAAGGGCGGAGAAATTAAGGGCAGAGGGGTCCGAGGTCAGGGGTCCTAGTTCTCGAAGGGTCAGAGACGAGGGTCAATTAAAAGGGGCAGGCCAGGGATAAGTGAAGGGTATGTGCAAAGGTCAGAATTATCAGGGTAGGTCAAAGAATATTAATCAGGCAGAGGGCATTTCAGCACCTAGGGGACTGAAGGCCATGGTGTTCCCTGGGCTTGGACGGAGAAGGCGGGATGTGGCGTGAGCCTTGGCGATGCGTACACCCTGGGCCGAAGCTCGAGTTCTCTCAGGGTCAAACGATTATCCTTTTCTTGCCGCGAATCTTTTGCCACTGCAGCGTGGGGAGCAGTCTGGGGGGCAGGGACTTTCTAATTATGGTTATGCTACAAAGCACATGACAGGGAGGCAATATTGCTGACCAAAAGGATAGAGTGGCCAACTAGATAGCTGGTTCACTGGCACATGGTGGATAGCAGTCTTAGAAGTGAGGCTGCTATTCTGGGCCTTCTCTTTCAGAGCTTATTTATTAGGCCATGGCCTCTCCTCAGATCTCCCAGTAGAAAAATGAATTGACTCGTTCTTGCAGGAGACATTTCTGAAGAAGGTACTGTGTGCTAGGCCCAGTAACCTTAAAAGTACAACAGAAGAATAAGATCTTACTGCCTAGTCTGTTTGGAGAAGGTAGGTCAGCTGTTGGGTATGACAAGTGCAAGGACAAGAATAGGCATAGGGGTTTCTGAGAGCACTGAATGGGAAAGGGGTTCAGGCAGAAGAAAGCAGACCAAACAGCCTTCCTCAAGGAGCATGTTAGAGGGAGATAGGGTAGGTGATAAGAAGGAAACAGGAGATTTGAACTTGTGTTCCAGAGTCATCTTGCAGGCAATGATGAAGGATTTTAATTAAGTCTTGATAACACTTCTTCTGAAAGATCTCTTGATTATGTGTTCCAGAGTCATCTTGCAGGCAGTGATGAAGGATTTTAATTAAGCAAGTGAGTGTCTTGATAACACTTCTTCTGAAAGATCTCTTGATTCTCAGAGGAACAGAATAAGAGAGTACTCTTGGAGGCCACTGCAGGGATCCAGGCAGGGGATAATAATGTCATGCGCTAGAGTGGTAGAGTCATTAGAGAGAAGTGGGTATCAGGTGTTTAGGGTATAAAATTGGTAGGGATTAGGTAAGGGAGAATTGAGTTTGACACACAGAATTTCTTGTTTGAGCAGCTGTGTGAATGGATGCCATTCACTGGAATGGGTAACGTGTGTCTTACCTGGATGAATTCTCCCAGGTGGTCTCCTCATATCCACCTTGGACTCTCACACTCACTCCAAGCCCCTGCCTGTATTCAGGTGTAATCTGTTCTCACAAAGTAACCCAAGTAACTCTGTTAAGATGCAGGATAGATCCTTCACACTTCAGCTTAAAATCTTTTAGCAGCTTTACATTGCACAGCATTTAAATTTCCTACCAAAGTTCTCAAGCCCTTTGTGACCTGGCCCCTGCACACCTCGCTGATTTCATCTTGTTCTGTGAACTTTCTGTGCTCTAGTATACTGGTTTTATTTGGTTCCTTGAAAATGCCAAGCTTGTGCTGGCCCTAGGACCCTTGCCCTAGTTATGCTCTACTTCAAATGGTCACTCAGGATGGTGCCTGGCATATACATAGTAAACCCCCAAACTGGTGGGAAAAATCAATGAAGAAGCAGATGCAGGAGAAAGCATTGGGTTCTGTTTTAGATATGTTGAGTTTGAGGTACCTGTGGGATATCCAAGTGTAGTTGTCCAGAAGAGATGTCTATATAATCTCCAGCTGAGTAGAAGTTGCTAGCCTATAGATAGGGATTAGATAGATATCAACATATACTTGAGTAACACAATCACTCAGGAGGAATATGTAGCATGAAAAGAAAAGAGGATGAGGATTATAACCCTACATAGGGAGAGATGCTAATATTTTTTGGGATGGCAATTGAAGAAGAGTTCACAAAGACTACTTAAGAAGGAACAGCCAGAGTGAGGAAGAAAACTCAAAGAGTGTATAGTGTCACCAAAGTGATGAGAAGAAGGTATTCTAGGATAAACATTTCAGGGGGAGTTCACTGCCAATGCTACAGAGAGGTAAAATGAGACTATATTGGATTTAGTAGCAAGCAGGTGGACTTGGTGACCTTGGGGAGCACTATTTTATTTGATAGTGAGAATAGAAATGATTCCATCAGGAGGAAGGGATGCTTACCAAGGAAAAATGGGAGAAGTGTGAATAGATTTAGTAACGAGGGAGCAAAGCCTTAGAGAGCTGGAAGGACATAGTTGATTATGGCGAGACGTGTAATCGCCATTTTTGGTAAGTGGTTTTGATGTAATTGTTCTCCTGTTTCTTTCCATTCCAGAAGCCACATCTGTTTTGGAATGAAGTCGCCCGAGGAGATGCGTCAGCAGGCGCATATCCAGGTTGTGAGTAAGAACCTGTACAGCCAGGACAACAACCATGCCCCCTTGCTGTATGGGGTGCTTGATCATAGGATGGTAAGGCCTTGCCCCTTCCTAGCTCCATGTGTTTTGATTTGCCGATGAAATCAATGGTTTATCAGATTGGTAGAAGCAAGTGTTCCTTTCCATCTCCCCTATTCCCCTGCATATCTCCGGGACTCCCACTTTTGGTCAGTCGGATGTGAATACACTTTAGCTTCCGAGGTGATTCTGATTCTGAGTCATCTGTCCACCTGTGAGGACTGTTTTCATTTTCCTGTCCAGTGGTCTCCATTGATTATTGGGTGTGCTTTTTCCCAAAGGGTACAAGTGAGAAGGATCGTCCTTGTGAAACCTGTGGAAAAAACTTGGCTGACTGTCTGGGCCACTATGGATACATTGACTTGGAACTGCCGTGTTTTCATGTGGGATACTTCAGAGCAGTTATAGGCATTTTACAGGTAAACATTTTTGTGTTCATTTCCCAGGCATGAACTTGGGAGTTTTCGAACAGGGGCATTGGCATGAGCTTAGGAATTGTAAGTGATGGGGGATACATCTAGGGAAAAATTTTATACTAAACACATAATACTTCATCTTGCAATAAATTAATTGCTTAAAGATTCTTTATTCCTTGGTTTTTCTTGAGTAGGTAATAGACGTACATTGTAAAAAATAATTCGAGCAATACGTAACAGCACAAAGAAAAAAATAAAAGCTAATAAAAATTCTCCCATCCATCTTGGACTGTGGCTAGAATTTGGTGAACATGGGCTGCCTCTTTGTGCATATCTTTACGTAGATCTGTGCATGTGGTCACTTTGATGTAGGACAGGGCAAATTCCCCTGTGTGAAGGGGCAACTCAAGCCCCACACTGAGAGAGAAGAGGGTTCTTTGCAGAGCATAAGAAAGAATTCAGATACACACCAAAGTTAGAGTCAAAAGGAAGATTTATTAGAAGGGGAAAAGCAGAGACAAGAAAAAGCAAGACAAAAAGCCTAGACAAGGAGATAAAAGTTTCTAGTGGGGAAATCCAGTTTATATATCAGTCTTTAGTTCCTGTGAGTTACAGTTTAAAGTCTTTGTTTACCCATTTTACTTTGATAATGGATATACAGTGAGGAAGGATAAGAGTATGTAGCATGAAAAAGTAGCTTGAAAGGCCAGCTGGCAGTTCCCAGCCTTTATTCTGTAGGTTCCCTATGGTTTTAGCCATAGGGAATGAATGATTTTATTTTGTGTAGGCTGCCACTTAAAGACTCTGTTTTTCCTGTTTTCCTGTCACAGTGTGGGGAAATGGATTGTTAGCAATCCCAGCAGAAACTTTCCTTTTTTTCTTCAGGTTTCCTTGTGATCTGGCTGCAAGGCTGATCAGCATATTGCAGTCTCAGAGTATAGTTTGATTTAACATTTTAGTTCTCTTGCCTCCTCCCTACATTAACTCAGTTCTGAGTTTCCTGGACAAGGGGTAGAGGTGGCATTTTAAAAAGAAAAAAGATTTTTTTCATTCTCTTATTCTATTATCTATTTTGTTTAATGTTTAAAAGATGATCTGCAAAACCTGCTGCCACATCATGCTGTCCCAGGAGGAGAAGAAGCAGTTTCTGGATTATCTAAAGAGGCCTGGCTTGACCTACCTCCAGAAACGAGGACTGAAGAAGAAAATTTCTGATAAGTGCCGAAAGAAAAACATCTGCCATCACTGTGGCGCTTTTAATGGTGAGTGGAATGTATGAAAGGCTTAGTGCTATCCCTTTTCATTCTCTCTTTTCTGCTTAGCTTATTAGTTTTACAGAATGTTTCAAGAGTCAACTTTTTTCTTGCAAATTTAGGCATTAGAGCCTAGCAACTGATGCAATGTTAGGAATTTCACCTCTTATCCCTCATTGCTGTAGCGGTTTCAGTAATTTCATTAACCAGACTGCAATCTCAGGCCAGCTTTACCAAGAACCTAATTTTTTTAACCTTGACAAATAAATTAACTCTTATAGGTACTGTAAAGAAATGTGGATTACTGAAGATAATTCATGAGAAATACAAAACCAACAAAAAAGTGGTGGATCCTATGGTATCAAATTTCCTTCAGTCTTTCGAGACTGCCATTGAGCATAACAAAGAAGTGGAGCCCCTGCTGGGAAGGGCACAGGTGAGTCTGATATGCATGCCTGCCCTCTCCTGCCCCGCCCCCCACACCCGCAGGTCTAACACACACACTCTGTTCCTGCCCTTTCTGATATACACACCTTCCATAAGAAGTCCATTTAAGTTAGATCTCCAGGAATATTTCATGTGACAAGTATTTAGCACTGAGTTTAATATGGACTGGCCTTGTAACAGATTTTTAATCGTACAGGTAATGTGTTAACATTTCTATTGTAAAAGATTGTAAAATTATAGCTGTGTAGAATATAAACTGAAAGACCATTTCTCCCTTGGATAATGAGACAGAAGAAATTGTAGGCAATTCCCATTACTTTCATTGGCACAAACTTAACCAATAGAATTTTATGAAGTTGCTTGTATTGCCTTATTCTGAATTTGATTTGTACTTAATTCTCATAGTACTGTCTAAAACCAATAATATATGAAACTAACAAATTAGTTAAGTGGCTACTGAGTACCAAACTCTATGAGACCTATGGGGAAGCATCAGGAGCTGCAAGACCGTCTGCTCACAAGGATCCACAGTTTAGATATCAGTAGCCATTAACCTGTAAAAAGATAACTCATAAGGCAGAGTGCTGGCACACGAATGGCAAAGACAGTTCAGTGGGAAATCAAGAGGAAGGTGTCACTTTGGATTTGGTTAGGGAAGCCTGCAAAGAAAGGTGTGATTTGATCTGGGCCTTAAACATGGGTAGAGTTTGAAGAGTCAAGGGCAGCAAGCTTGGCAAGTTCAGGTGACAGTGCCTAGGCTCATTCTGAAGCTTAGGCTCTGTTTGAAAGACCAAAGAGTGCTAATAAAAGCACCTTGCATTTGGTGACTGCTATTACACATATGCACTGTTTCAAGTTCTTAACATGGATTGCCTCACGTTTAGTCCTCATAACATCCCTAGAGACAGGATTGCCTAAGGTGATGGAACAGGAATTCTAGCCAGCACAACTGACGTGCAGGCCTATGCTGTAGAAAAGACAAACAAGTGAGACCACACTGTAGAGGGCAGCCTGCTCTGGGCAGTGTGGAGCTGTTGAAGGTTTTGAGCAGGAAAGGGACATGATGAATAATAAATGGTGAAATTCTGGAAAAGCCTGACTGCCCACTGCAAGACACCATTACAAAAGTGAAGAGGCAGGCCATGGAGTGCAGGGGAGAAAAAAGAGTCAGATCTGACAAAGGACTGTCATATTCAGAATGTAGGAAGCAGTTTTTACAATTTAGTAAAAAGAAAAAACCCAAGTTTTAAAAGTGGAAGCTAGACTTGAATTGGCACTTCACAAATGGTCAATAAGTAAGTGAAAAATTGCTCATTGTTATTAGTCAACAGGAAAATGCTAATTGATCCTCCCTCTCCCCCACTCCCTGTCCAGCAGAAAAATTAAAATGTAAAAAAAACTGAAAACCAAATGCTGGCAAAGATTTGGAGCAACTGGTGCTCATATATTGATGGTAACAATATAAACTATCACACCGCTCTGAACAACAGTTTGGCAATTTTTTATAAAGTTAAACCTATACTTACTATGTGATCTAACAGTTTTACTCTTAGGTATATACTCAAGAGAAGTAGGTGCATAAAATATTTGTATGAGAATGTTCATTGCATATTTATTAATAAAACCAAAATTGAAAACAGCCCAGATACTTGTCAGCAGAAGAGTAAACGATGGTCATAGATCCACACAATGGAAGACTACCATGCAATGAAAGAAATGAACTGACACACACAACCTGGCTGACTCTCAGAATCCTGCTGAGAGAAAGTAGCTTTATACAAAAGGATACAAAGCATATGATTTCACTGAGATCAAGTCCAAGAACAGGCTGGACTGATCTGTTGTAATAGACAGCAGGATAGCCATTACCCCTGGGCTGAGAGCTTGATACTGACTGGAAAAGAGGCATCAGGGTACTTTTTGGGGAGATGGAAATACTCTCTATCTTGATCTAAATGGTGTATACGTATAAAAATTTATCAAACTCTTTAAGATGTGTACAATTTACTATTTATAAATTATGCTTTGATTAGGAGGTGGAAAAAGGATAGGGATAACAGACCCTGAACCTGGGTAATGATAGTGGAGCCAGAGGCCAGAGTCTTTGTATACAGTAAGAATAGATAAGAACTGATGACCAACACTGTGGAGTTGTACATGAGGGAGTAACCAGAGGTGAGCAAGTGCTCGTGCATGGGCATCAGGAAAATAATAGTTCCTTGTCCTACAGTGTGAAAGTGGGGCACACTCCAGGCTGGCGACCATGTAGAAAGCTATCAAAAGCCTGGCAAGCAGTCTTGGTCAGTGAGCATGAGGGTTCCCAGGCTTTCTTGGGTGCAGCTTACTTGCAGTCTCCCTTGCACTCATTCTGCTGCTCTCAAATCAGCCTCCTTGACATCCCACCAGCACTTTGCCCTACTGGCTCTCTGCCTGGAACCTGCAACCACTGTCCTTGCTTGACAGGGACTACTCTGACACTTCACAGTAGCAGTGATTCTCCTCTAGGCCCCGAGAGCCATCTTGTTTGGGAAAGTCTCCTAGATGACCTGGCCCAGGAGGTAACCCCCTTCCATTTAAGAGTCACTTGTCTAGCACATCAAGCTGGGCTCTCAGGCATGTCCCCACTGTCACCACTCCCCACCCCACTTTACCTAGGTTGACACCGTAGAGGTGGTTTAGGGTAGTGGTTAAGAGCTTTGGCTTTGGGGTCAGACAGACCCGAGATTAGAGCCCTGCTCTACCACTTGTTCTGTGACCTTAGACATGTGATCCAACCTGAAACTCAATTTGCTTAACTAAAACAGGGATTACAGGAGTGTCTGTTTTACGGCTTTTTGTGAGGATTAAGAGATGAATTCCAGATCCAATGCTTAGCACAGTACCTGGCACATAGCAAGTGCTCAGAGCATATTGCCCAATTGCAGTAGTAATTATCACTGCTACTGACTTTCCTATAAAAAGAATCATGATAAATATAGATGAGATTTCCTCCTACTTTTGCTGTGTTCTGACTCATAGTGTCCCTTCAGCATTCTCTCCAGTCTGGACCCCCTTTGAGATCTCAGCCTTTCCCTCAACCATATGTATGTTTTCTGTGCTTCATATAACATTTGTGCTCTGTCTTGTACTTTTTGCTGGTTTCTTCTACTTAAGCTTGGTCCATAATAATATCCATTTTTCTGAGGTCCTCTTTGGTGCCCGTCATGGTGCTTAAAGCAGTGGCAGGTCTTCCAAGATCATCAGCTCATCCTGGTTCATTTACTTTTCAGGAATGTAGAACCCTTTATGGGTAGCATAGTATGATTGAGTTGGAAGAGATCCAAGAGCAGAGGTTCTTGACCTTTTCTGGGTCACAGACCCATTTAGGAATTGGACAGAACTTCTGGACTCTATCACTAGAAGACGAATGTATATCTACTCTCAATTTTAATACAAATCCAGAGGTGGCAGACCTGCACACAAGAGTCCCTCCATAGAGGACATCAGTCCTGTCTTCCTACCAGGTAGAGATGCCTTCCTGTCCCTGGGAGACTGAGTGACAGGCTGCCCTGGCTGACATCCTTCCAGCTACATTCCCTTACTACCACTCAAAGCAGCCCACCTTCCATTGCTACAGAGCTAGCCATTAGGGTGTTCAGCCCTATACAAAACTGATCTCTTTTCTACTATCTCACCATTGGTCCCTAATTTTTGTTTCCTAGTTCGTAAGAGAATAAGTCAGCAGCCTCCTCCAGGTGCCTCTTGGGAGGCAGTTGTTATATCGCTCTTGGAGTAGCTGCTCTTGCTAAGAAATGGTTTCTAGACTCTTACCAGTCCTGTCCTTTTGGAGGCCTTCAGTTCCATGATGTTCTCGTCTAGTACTGACTGGTACTGCAGATGATGTCTGGCCTTCATCCCCTTCCTAGAATTCTATGAACAGTTTTAGATTTTCTCCCTGACTGCTTCAGGAGATAGTCGAGGTGCCCATTGGTGGGAGACAGGGAAACCGAAAAAGGGAATTCTTCTCTGGGCAAGGACACAGACTAGAAAACCTTCCTTCTCCTCAAATTCACTGCCATCTCTAGGACAACTACAGAAACTTTGTCTTGTGACGGTGTTCTGACAGCAGTAGCTGTTCAGACATTTCTCTTTTTTACCAATAATTTTTTATTAGTTTCAGGTATACAGTACATTTGGTTAGACGTTTATATAGTTTATAGAACAATCCCCCAATTGCTCCTTCTCTCCTCTGTTTTCCACCTCGCCATTACATTAATGCTAACTGCATTCCCTATGCCGTGCTCCCCATCCCTGTAACCGTCTATCAACTACTGGTTTGTACTTCTTTAACTCTTCACCCCATTCTCCCAGCCCCCCAATCCCCAATTCCCTCTGTCACCAAATTGTCCTCTATATTCGTGAATCAGTTTTTGATTAGTTTATTCTTTTTGTTCCTTAGATTCTGCTTATAAGTGAAATCATATGGTATTTATCTTTCTGACTCATTTCACTCAGCATAATAACCTCTAGGTCCATCCATGTCATTGCAAATGGTAGGATTTCATTTTTTTTTAATTTAATTTTATTTTTTTAATTGAAGAAATGATTTAAATTTCCTTCCCCCTTCCCCGCTACCCTCTGGTAACCACTAGTCTATTGTCCATGTCCATGAGTCTCTGTTTATTTGCCCTGTTCATTTGTTGCTTTTAGGTTTATATTCCATATGTAAGCGAAATCATGTGCTTTTCAACTTTTTCTGTCTGGCTTCGCTTAGCATGATTATCTCAAGGTCCATTCATGTTGTCGCAAATGGCAGCAAATGGTATCTCTTCTTATGGCTGAGTAATATTCTGTTGTACCATATGTACCATAGCTTCTTTATCCAATCATCTGTTGATGGGCATTTAGGTTGTTTCCATATCTTGGCTATTGTAAATCGCACTGCCATGAATATTGGGGTGCATAGAGCTTTACGAATTATTGTTTGGTTTTCTTTGGATAAATACTCAGAAGTGCAATTGCTGGGTCAAAAATTACATCCATTTTTAATTTTTTGAGAAACCTCCAGACTATTTTCCATAGCAGTTGTACCAATTTTCAATCCCACCAACAATGTATGAGGGTTCCCATTTGTCCACATTCTGACCAACACTTATTTTTGATTTATTGATGATAGCCATTCTGACAGATGTCAGGTGATATCTCATTGTGGTTTTACTTTACATTTCTCTGATGAATAGTGATCTTGAGCATCTTTTAATATGTGTATTGGCCATGTGTATTTCCTCTTTGGAGAAGTATCCATTTTTTAATTGGATTTTTTGTTTTGTTGAGTTGTCTGAGTATATATTTTGGATATTAACCTCTTATCAGGTGTTTCATTAGCAAATATCTTCTCCCAATCAGTTGGTTTTCTTTTTGTTTTGTTGATGGTTCCCTTTGCTATACAAAAACTTTTTAGTTTGATGTAGTCCCATTTGTTTATTTTTTCTTTTGCTTACCTTGCTTGGGGAGACATAGCCGAAAAGTAATTCCTGTTAGTAATATCAGAGAGTTTCTTGCCTATGTTTTCTTCTAGAAGTTTTATGGTTTCAGGTCTTATATTTAAGTCTTTAATCTATTTTGAGTCTATTCTTGTATATAGTATAAGAAAATGGTCCAGTTTCTGTTTTTTTTTTCTGAATGTATCTGTCCAATTTTCCCAACACCATTTATTGAAGAGACTGTCTTTACCCCACTGTATATTCTTATCTCCTCTGTCATACATTAAGTGAGCATATAGGTGTGGATTTATTTCTAGGCTCTCTATGCTGTTCCGTTGATCAATGTATCTATTTTTATGCCAGTATCATGCTGTTTTGATTACTGTAGCCTTGTAATATAGTTTGACATCAGATAGTATGATATCTCCAACTTCGTTCTTCTTTCTCAAGAGTGCTGTGGTTATTTGGGGTCTTTTATGGTTCCATATAAATTTTAGTATTATTTGTTCTAGCTCTCTGAAAAATGCCATTGGTATTTTGATAGGGATTGCATTGCATCTATAGATTGCTTTGGGTAGTTTGGCCATTTTAATGATGTTGATTCTTCCTACCCCAGACATTTCTTTCTTAACTTTGTTCTCCTTCTCATTAAGTTATACATGGCAAATTCTGCTTTTAGCATATATTCTCAGTTACACAACCTTTGATCCCAAGAAAATTTAATAAGCAGCAATAAGACACAAGCTGACCATTCTTACTTTTGCTCTTTGAATGTCTCCAATAATTTTCATAGTTTTTATATTATGAGTAAGTTGTTACAGCATAGCACTTCCATTACATGAAGTCAGCACAAAGCCAATATAAGTCACTACACAAAATTTAAATTTAAAAATAGAAACAAAGCAATGATAATCCTACTCACCTAAAAACAGTACTGTTTAAACCTTGGTAAACTCTTCCATTTTCTCTTTTCTATATAGATGTACATCCCTACAATGAAATCATATCATACACATGCTTATTTTATTTACCAATATTTTGTGAACACCTTTCATGGCAATAGCTACGTTTCTAGTTTTTTGTTTTTTGGTTTTTTTTAATGGCTTTGTAGTTTTGCATGTATGGATATATACCATGATTTCATATAAACCGTAACCTATCAGGCTGTTTCCAACTTCACAACTAAGAACAGTTTTAGTGAACATCCTTGTAGCAGAATCTTGTGTTAATTCCTAAAGTCATACCCTTTGAAATAATTATGAGAAGCGGAATTATTGGCTTAAAGAATGGGAATAAAAGTCATGCACGTTTTTAGGAATAGCATATTAACAAAAATCTCTGCCATCATTTACACTTATTTTAAGTGGTAAATATGCCCAAGCTATGGAAAATTGACATATGTTTCTTTTCTACCCTTTCCATAGGAAAACTTGAATCCCTTAGTCGTTCTGAATTTATTTAAGCGAATTCCAGCTGAAGATGTCCCTTTACTTCTGATGAACCCAGAAGCTGGAAAGCCCTCTGATTTGATTCTCACACGACTTTTAGTGCCTCCCTTGTGTATCAGACCCTCTGTCGTGAGCGATTTGAAGTCTGGTACCAATGAAGATGATCTAACAATGAAATTGACAGAAATTATTTTCCTAAATGATGTCATTAAAAAGGTCAGTGCTTCTCATTAGCATTTCCGAGCTGTAAGTTTCAGAGTATATCTATGGAAACAGTTGTGATCAAGAAAGTCAAATTGACAGGCTTGTTCCTGTTCATTCTTTGCTCATTTTTAGCATCGGATATCAGGAGCTAAGACCCAGATGATCATGGAAGACTGGGACTTCCTGCAGCTGCAGTGTGCCCTCTACATCAACAGCGAGCTCTCAGGCATTCCCCTCAACATGGCACCTAAGAAATGGACCAGGGGTTTTGTCCAGCGCCTGAAGGGAAAACAGGGTCTGTTGCCAGCAAAATTCAGGAGATAATCTACTGCTTTGGTTTTGATTTTGCTTTTTTGTTTTGTTTATTTATTTATTTATTTTGTTTTGTTTTGTTTTTAATGTATGTCTAGCTTCTCTAGTTGGAGATCACAGATTTTCCTTTGTCTTTCTACTCAAGTTACCCCCAAACAGCACACCTTGTGCTATGATATATTTTTATTTATTTAGGTCGATTTAGAGGCAATCTCTCAGGAAAGAGGGTAGATTTTTCTGGCAGAACAGTCATCTCACCTGACCCTAACCTCCGGATTGATGAGGTAGCTGTGCCAGTTCACGTGGCCAAAATTCTGACTTTTCCTGAGAAGGTAAGTACCATTTGGCCGCTTAATTCTTTTGCCTTGAATCCTGGCTTTTACATTATATTTTGAGATTCCAAACAATAGACAGTGGAAAATACCCAGTAACCCACTCCACCCTCAGTTTAGTGTGTGTGTGTATGTGAATCTTTCCAGTTCGTTTCATACATGTATTACCATATATGATATTTACAACGTATACAGTCACAACCGTGTCTGGTTTTAGGTGTATATTCTCATAGATACATTAAATATACCGTTCTGCAACTTTTTTTCCAAGTAATATTATCTTTGATATATTTTGGTGTTGGTTCATACCTCATGATTTAAAGTAACTAAATGATAAACAGCACACCTAGTTAATTTTGTTGGAATCGATTTTTGTTTTTAAAATCTTAGAATCACTGAGTCAAAAGCCTTTAAATAATTTGAGGCTATTGATGCATAACCACAAAATTACAAATCTTTACACTCAGTTCACACTTGTGAGGATATAAAATGGTATTATAATACTTTCTGTTTTTAACTGATATGTACAGGCCTGTTACAGGAGAATATTGATTGGCTTGGCTCTTGAGAGTCATAATTGGTTCAGATCATAGATGCTTCTGGTAAAACTTGTGAAAATGCCTTTGAATTACTAATGATCCACAGTTTCCTTCTCTGAGTTGGTGTTCCATGAGACTGTTGTCCAAAAGGTTGCAGGACATAGCAATGGAGACTAGTGCCTACTGTGCTGATGTCACAGATTTTAAACCTTATAAGCTCATGGTGAATCATTATAGATGACATTGTCACCTGTGTTTAGGATCCCAGTATGTGCCGGAAGGCCCCTACGGATCAGTCCAGCCCACTTATTTAACTAATATGGATATCAAGGCCAGCGAAGGACTTGGCCATGTAACCCAGACCACATCCAGACTATATTCTGGGCTCCTGCGTGTCAGTCATTGTCATTACACTCAAGGTGCCTAGGGCTCTTCCTCTCCTCCTCCTAGAATCACACAGGAAAGTCAGGATTGAGACACAGTTCAGTATAGTGTACTAGCTTATAGAAACCTAACAGTATCATTGTTTTTTATTGTGGTCCTACAGGTAAACAAAGCAAACATTAGTTTTTTGAGGAAACTGGTTCAAAATGGCCCTGAAGTTCACCCAGGAGCCAATTTCATTCAGCAGAGACACACACAGATGAAAAGGTAATGCTTTCCCAGTCTAGTTGAATGTTACTACCTTCTCATAACCAAGTTCACTGTTGCCATACTTAGCCACAGAATGCAGTCCAAAGTATAATTTTGGGGACATTTTAGCTTGTGGAAAATATCTGTATAAATTGCAGTGAGCCTAGGTGTATCATTTGCTCTGTTTGACAATTGACTGTAGAAGTATTAATTTGTTCTCTGGCATTTAGTGTTATTGGATCTATTTGGACAAGACACATTGGGATATGAAAGCAGATCATTTTCTGTGTCACCTGTGCTCTGGGATCACTTCAGTGTATTCGTAACCCAGCAGGCACTCATTTTTCCAACTCTGGCTTTTCACAGCAAAACTAACTGGGGTAAACATGATGTAAAAACATCAGCAGGGCCCAGTCAGAGAAGCTGATTTATTACCATATTTCTGTGGTTCTAAGGCAACTTTTTTTCACATTTTAGTATTTTTTAAATTAAGCTGTGTCTTATAACTTGTCATAGTTTAATCGATGGCCTCTATAGACACCTTAGATTCAGTGAAATACGATCATTTTAGAAGATTGAATCCTGACATGAAGAGTGAGAAACTTGGAGAGGGAACTTTTTTCTCACACGTGGTATTTATTATTGTACGTTAAGGTTTTTGAAATACGGAAATAGGGAAAAGATGGCTCAGGAACTCAAGTATGGGGACATCGTAGAGAGACACCTCATAGATGGGGATGTGGTGTTATTCAATCGGCAGCCGTCACTGCACAAATTGAGCATTATGGCGCATCTGGTAAGTATGAGATTCTGGTTTTATTTTTTGTCGGGTGGATATTTGCTGTGTGTGCAGTGCTAAATTCCAGACTTCTAAAATTAAAATTGCCAGTAATTGCAGATACTCATAACTTTTGATTTTCCTCTTGTCTTTTTAGTTTGAGTAAAACTTAAATTTCAAGCTTTTCTTCAATATTTTTAATATTTATAATGTAATCTTCATGCACAACAGTAAAACAGGAACTAATTGAAAATTAGTGTGAAAGTGACTAGAATGATTTCACTTGCAAACAAAAATGTATACGCAGATATGTGTGCACAAACTTATGTAAAATAGGTATGACAGAAAATTGACTTTTGATTTAACTTAGCATATTAACTAATGTTTAAAAGATTTTTCTTTTCAGTAATCCTCCAACTAAGACCCTAAAACCATATATTGGAGGGTGATTTAGTTTTGCAACAGCAGCAGTTCCTTTTTCTGGAGATTTAGAATGGAAATGGAGATGCAGCTTTTATTTACTAAATAATCATAAATTCTATCTGCAAAGCGATTAAATTCATGAGCATTTGCAGACAGTGTTTAAACAGGTCCTTTAAGTAGTGTTTTTCTAGATTCAGTTTTTCAATAGTTTACGAACACATTACATCAGTCTTTTTTTTTTTACCTAATGGTGGAAATACCGAAGAAGCAGTTTATGATTATGAGGTTGTGATCATGGGATCTAGGAGGTGAGCAAAAGCCTTTTCTGGAAACTTCTGCTTGGCGTTGGAGCATTTTTTAAAATAGAAATTTTTTATTTGAAAATTTTCAAATATACACAAAAGTAGAAAGAATATTATGATGAACTCACATTTTCTCATCCTCATTGTTCAGTAGTTTTCTAGATTTTTGCCTCACTTGTTTTATCTCCCCGCCCTCCTTTTTTTGATGAACCCAGATGCCATGTATTTTTTTTCTATGTGTATTCAGTTTACTTCTGTAAAACAATAACCATAGTGCCATTATCACATCTCACAAACTTAAGTCATTCTTTGGTATTGTATAGTGCCCAGTCCATAATCAGATTTCCCCATGTGCCTTAAAAAAATTTTTTTGTATCTAGTTTGCTTGAATCAGAATGCAAACAAAGTCTACACCTTATATTTAGTTGATACATATCTTAGGTCTGTATTGTTTTAGAACAGTCCTCCATTCTTCTGTTAATCTGAATGTCGTTGAAGACACCAGATCATTTGTCTTGAATACCCATGTTCTCAGTTGGTTCGTATTTGTGTGCTGTTAAGTGTTTCTTCATTTTTCCTGTTATCCCTGTAAGCTGGAAATTACCTCCCAAAGCATAATCAGATTCAGGTTCAGCTTTTCTGCAAGAATAGGAGGTACTGGCTGCATCCTCTTGCCTTATTTCAGGAAGCACATGTTATCTGGATATCCCACTCTTAGCTATGCTATAAACGTTAGGGATTCACCTGATGTCTTCCTCGAAAGGTTCTTCATCAACCTTTTTTCTAATGGTTCCATCCACTTATGATCCTTGCCTGCATCATTTCACTGGGGCTGCAAAATGGTGATTCTCTAATTTTTCATTCTTTTCACATTTAATACACAGGATTATTGTACTGAAAAACTAGAGCTATTTGCTTACCTAGAAATACATAAAGGAAAGGCAGCTAGACGCCTAATTCTTTTTTCTTTATTGTCAATTTGAGAAGTAAAAAGTTATGGCTCAGTTATTTCCAACCAGGTGGTTTTGGGTCGCGTTAGTTTTTTTTATTGTTGGCTTTCCTTTTTTTCAGTGACAGTATAAACTCAATGGGTTTTTATGTAGTCAGTGTTTTAATCAGCTTCTGCCATTAATCTTTTTCATATCGAACTGTGAAACCATTGGCCAGTGGGAGCCCCTTCACATGGCTCCTATGTTGGTGTTTGCCCCTCATAGTATTAAAACATTGGTTTGAGCTAATAAAGCTATTGAATGAGTCTACAGGTGACATATATCTCTTGACAGAACATACTAGAAAGTTATATCCTTAATCTGAAGTTTCCAATTTTCCAGGAAACCATTTTCAATGTTTTGAAACTAAGAAGTTTTGGGATAAACGACTAAATCCTTTTTCTGTTTTGTGTTCCACAGGCCAGAGTCAAGCCCCACAGGACCTTCAGATTTAACGAGTGTGTGTGTACACCCTACAATGCGGATTTTGATGGTGATGAAATGAATCTTCATCTTCCTCAAACAGAAGAAGCTAAAGCAGAGGCCCTTGTTCTAATGGGGGTACGTAGGATGATACAGCCCAGCTTACAGCTTCTTGAAAAGAGGGG